AAGAAGGCACAATTGCCAGCACACTTTCACTATTCTTTTTCCTCTACCACCTTCTGCTCCACTATTTCTGTGATTAAATAAACACAAATACGAACACACAAAAAAGAATCTAATAAAAACAGCCCCATAGGTTATAGCTCATGGCTATTTAAATGACGATCCTATGAAAGAGTCTGTACAACTCAAGGAAATCTATGGGTACTTACCAGATACTTTTGGCTCCAGATTTCAGTGGCGGCAGGTTAATGGAGAAGGGAAAAGGGAAATAGGTGGATTTGTAGGTATTATACAATTGTCTGAATCTGTGTTGGTCACACAATACTAAGAAATGCTCATAGAATCAATGAAAAAACAAGGATAACCAGGGCCATCAAAAATAACAATATATAAAATTCCTATTATGTGAGTCAAAAGATGCCAAAAAAGAAACTAACTTTGTACCAAAGTCCCTATTTTACACAGAGAAATCCCTTAATATCAGCCCTCCTGTGCTTATCCAATATGTTCGTTTCTCCCTTGCCTGCTTTTTACACCAAGTTACTTTTAAATCTGTACTCTGCAATGCTGCTAATATTCTCTGCATGTTATAGACTGTTTATCCTAAAATGTTCCTTCTATGGTGTGGTTCATCAGGACCCTACCATAGTCTACTGGTAATGAAGCTTAATTGAAACCACATGGTTCTGCATTACTTGAAAAGCTAACACTGACAATATAATGCATTGATATTCTTTGAATTTATCAACTCGCTGCAAAACTAAAATGACATTTCATTTTACAGAGTTATTCTGTTTTCCACATGCATGCGATATCACAGTTTGGAAAAAAATTGAATTATATCCCTGGTCAGCACCCATATGTAGTTTTAGATGCTTTTAGGTGTCTTAGGTCCATTAGATGGCATGCATTAATGCACACTAATATTCCTTAAAAGTTATGTAGCAGTAGATAAAGAGATGTACTTGACTATTGCTAATGAGTTTGGCATGCTCAAGACATTAGTCTTTTAAGAAAAGCTATAAAGCAAACTGAATCTGCCATTCAAATCTGCTTTGGAAAAGAAATTAAAGCAATAGCTTTCACAAATTTTTAAAAAGTAAATTACATTAAGTCAAGGTTGTCATTTAAATTTAAATCCCTATTTCTAAGTATGATGCATGATTAAAAGGCATAATGGAAAATATAAGCAAATATTAATACCTTAATACAGCATTAAAAAAAGAAAAAAGAAAAGAGCAGTGGAAACCTGAGTAAAAAGAAGCCAGGAAGCAGCTGAAAAAGAGACCGGTTCACTGTGAGAAATGTAAACCTCTCAGACAGTGCTACGGCCCCGAATCCAACAGCTCAGGAACAAGGCCAATTATTGCAAAATATTAAACATATATGGTAAAGCTGCAAACTTTTCAAATGAGTCATAAGAATGAAAGCAGCTACACAGAAAACAGCCAGGGATCCATAAACCCAAAATCTTTGCTGTAACTACTATGTGCAGGAACAGTTTCTTTATATCAAGTTCCTTATATGCAGTATACTTTACAGTACTTGAACTGTAAACTTTAAAGAGTTAAGATAATGAATCTTTATTATTACAACTGACAAGTAACCATTTCTTTTGAAATAGTTGCTTGTGTGACTCCAGTTTTTGACAGTAAGTCACTAAGCTACTACAAACCAATCCTCCAATATTTCACCTTCCTCAACTAGAAATGACTCACATAAGCTAGAAACACAGTATCATGGAATTTTAGAGTTCACAGAGGCTTCAACAGACAATACAGCAAAACTCCCTTACTTTGCCAGTAAGTAAAATGAAACCCAGAAGCTTTAAGTGATAGACCTGATACCAGTTAAAAATGAATGAGGCTAACAGGATTTTATTCCTATTTTGTTTTCTTACATACTATACAATGCACTGTCTGAAATGCCTTATGTAGCCAGAATTTCTTCTGCTTCTGCTGATTGGGGTTGACTTAACCTTGTTTTGAATGACCGTGACAGTTTCAGATTCATAACACAAGATATATATATATATATATATATATATTCATTCCCCAACAATAATGATAGTACTATTTTCAATTCAAGTCTCGTAATAGATGGGAGGTTTGTTGTTAAGGAGATTAACAACTATTGTGGACCTCTGGCACTCCCGTGGATGGAAGACCAAAGCATTTTATCCTTGAGATATCTCCCCAAGGATACCTTCCTGCCCCCAAAAGGGAAAAGAGCAGAAAGTTTTACATTTTTTCTTGCCATATCCCCTGGCTTATGAATATTTAATTTAAAAATTACTTATTTATTGTGCTCCAGTGAAGAAAAACTGTTACTAATTTATTAATGTTTTCATTATTTGGTTGAATAGTTTTACCCTTTTATGTAATACAAGAAAATAATATGCTGCTTGACTAAATGTTGTTTGGCAAGAAACAAAAAGGTAAGAGATGTAATAAATTATTTCTAATTTTAATCAGATTGGGATGGTGAAATGTACATAGGGAAATATAAGGAAAAGAATAAAAGAATGAAATCCAGAAAGTATAATGTGTATATAAAAAAAGTTAATTACTGAGACATAAAATGCTATAAATTTGTTAAAAAAACACAGAAAAAATTGCCTTGTTCATTTCCCGATGCATTTTACTTTTCTATTAGGACACACACAAACATACATGCACACTTTTCTGTAAGCTTTAACAAAAAATAACCATTAACTAACTACAAAAAAAATCTTTCGATTTTGAGTTTTTTAGTAGTTCAAATCCTACTAATTCCACAAAAAGGTTATAATTACCAACACAATACTTGCCACTGGCACTACTGAACTTTTCTTCAAAGAGGGATTTGCTCTTGTACTTATTAGCATAACAAATTTCCTTCCCTTTCAGATAAAGATGATTTGAGGATTTCTCTTTTTTTCTTCAAACTGAATGATATTCAACTAACTTAAGGTATAAACTGAGATGATAGTACATAAAATAATTGGAAGAACAGATTCTATAACATGTTACATTATGGTAACTTTAAGAGTCAAACACAACATTTAAAAACTGTTCACAAAAACTGTTTTTCTGTGCCTGTACTATACAGATGTACTCTGTTTCCCTCCTTCTCACCTTAACTAGCGTTAGGAAAAATCCACAATGAAAATATCACTGATTATAAAACACGTACTGTCTGTCACATAGATATTTTGGCCCTCACTTGCGAGGAGTGGCATATTCAGCTGTTCTCCATTTAGTGGGAATATTTTTCCTGAGATGCATTTGTAAAAGCACATTGGTCCAACCTGTGATTAAAAGTTTCAATTCTGTAGGCAGTTTGACAATGGAGAGGAATAAAAATTTAGCCATGGAAAAGAACGAAACTTGTAAATTCATATAAACATGGAGTAAAGGATCTTTGCATGCCTCATTAATAGGCTGTATGAAATGAATTAGTCACACACAAGATAATGGAATGCGGAGACTGAAGGTAAATTTCTTTTTTGTTATGACATTAGCTGTAATCTGTATTATAATTTTGGAAGAAAAGAATCAAAAGAGAAACAATATGAAAAGTTAGTCACTGTAGCCCAGGAAAACTCACAAAATAATTTCCATTAGAACAACAATGTATTTAAAACTAACGAATGAATGGTGTCACGATGAATGCTCCCATTTATAAAGAATAACTTTTGATGACTTTCAAAATTAGGGCATGTATTAGTTTATATTATTTGAAGTGGATTGTACTATAAACTTCAGGAAAACTTGAATTAAACGGAGTCATAATTAAGACAGAAGTTGGCTAAAATGACCAATGCTTGCATTCAACATCCTTCGGAAGAACATTTGTCACACATACAATACAGGGCTAGTAAAACAAAAAAGGAAAGACCTAACACTAAGTCTAAGACAACCCCCAGGAGCAAAGGATTAAAAACCTGGCAGCTCCCCCACAGGTATGATAAGTAACAATCCTATCTGGTTAAGGAAGTTGGTGAGTCACAATGATCACTGAAGAGTGCATGAATGAGGAGAAGCACAGACACTTCTCATCAGATTGCCCTGTGTAGGCATCCTTCTTCTAAAACTGCGGCTCCCCTTAAGAGTGGCACATAATATCAAGAGCAAGAAACTGCCTAAGCGGAGGGTTATGTGGCCTCAGTGAGTCACGCTGATGTAGCCTGAGAGCCTCCAACAGTGACAACCAGCTAATACAGTCTCAAAGATGCCAAGAAACATACCACTTCTACACTAGAGTGATGAAAGGCTAAAAAGTACCTTATTACACATCTGGGGCAGAATCACAAATCTAGGTGGGAAGCACAGAAAGAAATGAATTCAGTAAAGATAGTTTTTTATACTGAAGTCACAGTTGTTTTCACAGAAAGCTTAAAGAAAATTTGAGAGGGGCAAAAGGACAAGGATCTTTTCAGTTTTAATATATTTGATATTCTTAGTATTAGATTGCATTTGGTTTAAAAATACCTTTCACTATACAACCGGCATACTGAAAAACAAAACACAAAAAAGATGTTTTAGAACATTATTCCTTTTAAAGGCACAGTGAGTCTAAGACATCAAAATATTTTCACCAGGCTAGATTCTCACAGTTAGGTCACTCTGATTCTTGCTTCTAGTTAGCTGTTCAGGAGGTATCTTAGCTTGCCGTGTCTGTCTTTTGTTGTTAACAGAGGTGGATTATCAGGCTGCAAAGGAGGCTTCACTACAATGGCAGTGAGTAACAGGAAGCTGCTCACCACTTTGCTTGGCATGGTACAGTCTTCACATTATGGTTTGTGGTTCTGTACACGTCAGCATATAAACCTGACGTGTACAGCATATAAACCTAACGTGACCCACTCTTAATCTCACTGGTTTGCATATTCATATGCCCATGTCTGAGACCCTTGATAGATGGAGTGTGGTTAACATCATTAATAGTAACACTGAAATAAAGCAGAATGAAAAAAGCAATATCCATAGCTAAGAAATCATGGCCTCAGAAATATTACTCACCTGTCTGCTGTGCAGGCTGTGGCAGTGGTTGGTTTAGATGTGAATTGTAATGGACAGAAGGGATTGGGCGATACTGAGGTTGACCAGAGTGATAGTGGCCTGGAGCACAGTAACAGGCTGGCATCTAGGATAAGTGTTGAGGAAGAAAAATCAGTTTCACTTGCAAAGAAATGTTTTCTCTGAGGAACAACAGAATGTAATGAGTAATAATTCTATTACTACCCAAAAATACATTTTCTTAGCTTTACATTTATGTGAAAAAATTTTTAAAAATTTCAAGCATACAGGATACATAACAAAAGACACCTACCAATATACCTGGCAATTACATTTAGTAGGTTTAAATTTTTTGGCCATATTTGTTTCTGATTTCTCTCTCTCTTTTATAAAACGAAACACTATTAAAATAGCTAAAGGCTTACTCTAGCATTCTTTTGTCCTATATTCAACAGAAAAACCATTATCCCATAGTTGGCGTGTATCTTTGTTATAAATGTTTTGGAACCTCTACTATATATGTATATCTGTTATCCATACAGAAAATTGTTGAGGATCTAAAAAATTTACATTATAGTACTGTACTATATACAACTCCATGCAAATTATTTTGCAATTAACATTCTTTTTTGAGACTTCTCTTGGTTGAAACATATATACTGCTAGCTCATCCAATTTGATATATGAACTGCAATCATTGTATAAATTAGTCAGTTTATTCCCACACTAATACACAGTTGTGCTGGTTCCATTTTTTAATTTTTCTCATATTTCTAATGTAAATTAAAATGCCAATAGAAATCCTATTGGTCAATTATACCTTAATAAAGCTGGGGGTAAAAACAGTAAGACTAGCTTGATTATATTTACTTCTGGTGCTATTTAAAAAAATTTTTTTAATCTTTATTTATTTTTGGGAGAGAGAGAAAGAGAGAGAGCATGTGCATGCAGACAGGGAAGGGGCAGAGAGAGAGAGGGAGACACAGAATCCAAAGCAGGCTCCAGGCTCTGAGCTGTCAGCACAGAGCCTGATGGGCGGCTCGAACCCATGAACCATAAGATCACGACCTGAGCCAAAGGTGGACACTTAACCAACTGAGCCAACTAGATGCACCTCCTTCTGGAGCTTTTTATACTAGTTGTACATTTCTCTTGATCTGATCTAGTTTGGAATAAGGAATAAACAATTAATTCAGTGATGTAGAAATATGTGGTAAATTAACTTTAGTAGCTTCATAAGCTCTTTCAGGTTCTGCTCTTCCAATTGGAATACTTCTCAAAGAGACACCTGTAGACATCTTAAAGAATGCCCATTTCATCTGGAAACCAGCTGGAGTACATAATTTCTATATCAGTTATAAGCCAAGAATCTCCTAAATTTACTGTAACATTCTTCTGATTCTGAAACATTAGATACAATACACATGTGGTCCCTTAACTGTTCCTGGAGGTATCAGCAAACAATAGGTTTTCCTGATTTCAGATCTTAATCCATTATTATACTTTTCAGTATATGTATGTATATAAATAACAGTATATTCTTTTCTCCCCCTTAATTAAAAAGGATATCATTGGGGTGCCTGGGTAACTCAGTTGGTTAAGCACCTGACTCTTGATTTCAGCTCAGGTCACGATCTCATGGTTTTGTGAGTGTGAGCCCGTGTCAGGCTCTGTACTAAGAGAGTGGATCCTGCTTGGGATTCTCCCTCTCTTTCTGCCCCTACCCTGCTTTTATGAGTGAACGTGCATGCATACGCGCACGCGCGCTCTCTCTCTCTCAAAATAAGTATATAAACTTAAAAAAAAGACATTGTTTAAGGCAAAAGAAAAAAAGGACAAAGGAAAAATCAAATGTAATACTAAAAGAATTCAAATAATACAAAAGGCAGGAAAGGAAGGATACAGGAATAAAACAGAGATAAAACAAATGGAAAACAAATAGCATCGTGGTATCCCTGCATTTAGCCATGTCAATAGACATACTAAAGATAAAAGGACCAGACACTCCAATGAGACTGGGTAGGACAGAAAAGATGAACTATACACTATATGCAAAAGATAGACTTTAAATAATGAGCATTCAAGGGTGCCTAGGTGGCTCAGTCAGTTGAGTGTCCCATTTCGGCTCAGGTCATGATCTCACAGTTCATGAATTCGAGCCCCAGATTGGGCTCTGGGCTGACAGCTCAGAGCCTGGAGCCTGCTTTGGATTCTGTGTCTCAATCTCTCTCTGCTCCTCCCCTGCTTGTGCTCAGTCTCTCTGCCTCTCAAAAATAAATAAACATTAAAAAAATTAAAAAAAAAAATATCGAGCGTGCAAATAAGATAAAAAAAGATACCACTTAAATGCTCATCAAAAGAATGCTGAAGTCACTAGATTTGTCAGATAAAATAGGTTTTAAGAGAGAAAAACATTTCACTGCTTACTATAGGTTCCAACACTATACAAAACTGGCAGAATTTAAGGGAGACATAGACCAATCCACTATCACTTAATTAAAAAAAAATTTTTTTTAATGTTCATTTGTTTTTGAGAGACAGAGACACAGACAGAGTGTGAGTGGGGGAGGGCAGAGAGAGACACACACACAGAATCTGAAGCAGGCTCCAGGTTCTGAGCTGTCAGCACAAAGTCCCATGCAGGGCGCCAAAGTCAGACACTTAACTGACTGAGCCGCCCAGGTACCCCAACCACTATCACTTATTGACAGAACTGGACAAAAGATCTAAAAGAATCTAACCAACAACACTGACTCAACTGATACTTAGAGAATAATAAATGCAAAAAAAAAAAAAAAAAAAGTAAAAAATGAAAGAGATTAAGACAAGCTAAATTAATGGAAAGATACCCCATGTTCATTAAGATTGGAAGATTTAGTATTAAGCTACAATAATATCCAAAGCAATCCACAGATTCAATGCAATCTCTATCAAAATTCCAATGGTGTCTTTTGCAGAAGTGAAAAAGCCAAACATCATATTTATATGGAACCATAAGCCACATAGCTCAGTAGCCTCAGCAATCTTAAAAAAGGACAAAGTTGGGGTGCCTGGGTGGCTCAGTTGGTTAAATGTCCAACTCTCGGTTTTGGCTCAGGTGATGATCTAGCGGTTTGTGAATTCAGGCCCTGCATCCGGCTTCGTGTTGACAGCAGGAAGCCTGCTTGGGGTTCTTTCTCTCCCTCTCTGCCTCTCCCCCGCTTGCTCTTTCTGTCTCTTTAAAAAAAAAAAAAAAAAAAAAGAAAGAAAGAAAGAAAGAAAGAAAGAAAGAAAGAAAGAGAGAAGAAAGATGGAGGACTCACATTTCCTGATTTTAAAACTTACCACAAAGGTATAGTAATAAAATAGTGCAGTACTGGCATAAAGGTAGAAACACAGAATAGCAAAAGTAAGAGTTTATTTGATACCAATAAACCAGAGTACCAACACCATTCAATGGGAAAAGAATAGGGTCTTCAATAAATGATACCAGAACAAATAAATACACACAAAAGAATGACGTTGGGACTCTTACACCTCATTATCATACGCAAAAATTAACTCTAATGGATAAAAGATCTACCTATTGGAGCTAAAGACCATAAAACTTTTTTTTTTTTTAATGTTTATTTTTGAGAGACAGAGAGAGAGAAAGAGTGTGTGTGTGAGCAGGGGAGAGGCAGAGATGGGGACAGAGGATCCAAGGCAGGCTCTGACAGCGACAGCAGAAAGCCTGACACAGGACTCAAACTCACAAAGTGTGAGATCATGGCCTGAGCTGAACTCGGACACTAAACCCACTGAGCCACTCAGGTGCCCAAGACCATGAAACTCTTAAAAGAAAACAGGGATAAAATCTTCATGACCTTGGATTTGGCAATGGATTCTTAGATATGATACTAAAAGTATCAGCAGTAAAATGAAAAAAAAAAAAAAAAAAAAAAAAGGAAAAAGTGGATTTCATTAAAATTAAAGTTTTGATGACTAATTAAGGATGTTATCAAAAAGTCAAAGGACAACTATAGAATGGTGAACATCTTTGCAAATCACACACCTGGTAAGGGTCTAGTATACAGAATATATAAGGAACTCTCACAACTCAACAAAAAGACAATCTCTTGAAAAAAATGGCAAAGGACTTACAACAGACATTTCTCCAAAGGAGACAGATAATGGCCAACAAGCGTATGAACAAATGATTAACCAATCATTAGGAAAATACAAGTCAAAACCACAATGAGATACCTATTTCACACCCAAAGGATGGCTAGGATAATGATAATTTTTAAAAAGGTAAATAATAAGTGTTACTGCCAAAATGTGGAAAAACTGGAACCTCAATACACTGCAGATAGGAATATAAAATGACACCATAGAAAGCCTGGTGATTCCTCAAAAAATTAAACACAGAATTACCATATAATTCAGCAATTTTATTCCTAGGTATATACCCAAATAAATGAGAACAGATACTTGAACAAATACACGTACCTCCATGTTCATAACAGCACTATTCACAATGTGCAAAGGGTAGAAACATCCCAAACCCATTAATGGTTGAAAAATGAACAAACGGTGGTATATACAAACAATGGCATATTATCCAGACCTAAGAAGGAATGAGGTACTGATATATGCTACAACATGGATTAACCCTCAAACACTGTGTTAAGTTAAAAAAGCCAGACACAAAAGGTAACAATATGGCATGATTCCATTAATATGAAGTATCCAGAATAGGTAAATCCTTAGAGACAGAACGCAGATTGGTGGTTCCAAGGGCTGGGGGATAGGGCAAATGGGTAATAACTGCTTAATGAATACAGAGTTTTCTTTTGGGGTGATGAAAATAAAAATGTTTTGGAACTAGAGAGAGGTGATAGTTGCAAAACACTGTATATGCACTAAATGTCAGTGAAGTGTTCACTTTAAAATAGTTAATTTTATATTATGTGAACTTTACCTCAAAACAAACCAAAACAATCATAAACACTAAAATGATAGAATACAAATGCTTTCAAGTGCACATGGATCTTGCCCCCAAAAGACTACATACTGGGAAATAAAAAAAGACTCAAGAGATTCCAAAACAAATCTTAGAGTAGGTTCTCTGACCACATGAAATTAAAACAGAAATCAAAACAGTAAGGTATTTAGAAAGCCCCAAATATTTGGACATTAAATAACACACTTCTAGACAAATCATGGGTCAAAAAAGTCACATACAAAAAAGAGAGAGAGATTTTGAATGAAATAACAAAAACACAACATATCCAGTTTTATGAATTGCAGCTAAAATGGTGCTTTAGAGGGAAATTTATAACATTATAAAACTTAGAAAGGAAGAACAAATCAATAATCAGTGATCTATGCTTCCACCTTAAAAAGCCAGAAACAAAAGAGCAAATAAACCCAAAATACGTGGAAGGAAGAAAATAATGGTAAAGGCAGAAGTAGCTCAAACAGAAAATGGATAATAAAATTAATGAAACCCTAAATTGTTTTTTTAATTTTTTTAATTGTTTAAGGAAGGTGGGGAGGGAGGGAAGGGAGAGGGAGAGGGAGAGGGAGAGGGAGAAAAGAAGAGGAGGAGGGGGAGGGGGGAGAGAGAAAGAAAGAGAGAGAGAGAGAGAGAGAGAGAGAGAGAGAGAGAGAGAGAGAGAATATGAATATGCATGCCTGAGCTGGAGAGAGATCATGACCTGAACTGAAATCAAGAGAACGCTTAACTGACTGAGCCACCCAGGTGCCCTGAAACTCTAAATTGGTTTTCTAAAAACATCGATGGAATTGATAAATCTCTTAAGTAAATAAGACACAAAGAAGAGAGAAGAATGAAATTACCAACATTAAGAATTACATAGGTGATACCATTACAGATCTTCAAGATACTAAAATTATAAGGTGGATATTATGAGCAACTGTTTGCCAATAAATTTGACAATACAATCAAATTATACAAACTATGAAATCTGGTCCAAAAAGAAATAGAAAATTGGATTAGCTCTGTATCTACTAAAAAACTGAATGTGTAATTTTAGAATCTTCTCCACAAAATAACTCCAGATCCAGATGGGATGCATCAGTGAATTCTAGCAAACATTTAAGAAGAGAAGAGTCCTACACAAAGTGCTTTAGGAAATTAAGGAGGCAATAATATCTAATTCATTTTGAGGCCAGTATCAGTGCCACCCTGATACTACAACCTGAAAAAGACATTAGAAGCAAACCATAGACCCATATCCATTATGAACGTTCATGCAAAAATCCATAAGAAAAGTCGAATGAATCCAGTGATATATAAAAAGATGTTATATCATGACCAAGTGGGAGTATGTTCCTGAAATAAAAGGTTAACAACATTCAGAAGTCAGTCAGAATAATTCACTGTATTAAGAGAGTGAAGTGGAGAAAAAAATCACATGATCATTTCAACAAAGAAAAAGACATTTTATAAGACTTAATACTCAATTCATGGTAAAAACTCTCAACAAACTAAGAGAATTTCCTCAACCTCATAGAGGGCAAAAACCCCACAGATAATATCACAGTTAATGACAAAAGACAGAATGCTTTCCCCTAAGACTGGGAACAAGGAAGAATATATACTTTCAAAACCTAGCCTTAAGTTAATAAATGAATTCTAGGGAATTTACTTCCCCCTGTTATGTTGTGTGTATATTCAACATCAGAGCTCATAGACAATACAATAAGGCAAGAAAGAGGAATAAAAGGCATATATATTGGAAAGGATAATATATGTAGAAATGGTCTTCAATATAGAAAATCCTAAGCAGTCTGTAAAAAAGTACTAGATTAAATTTAGAAAGTCCACAGGATTTAAGATAAATGCACAAAAATCAACTTTATTTCTACATACTAGCAAATGATGAACAGAAAATGAAATTTTAAAATAATCTCCTTTAAAATATCATTAAAAAACATTACATACTTAGAGATATATTTAATAAAATATATGCAGTACTTGTATAATTAAAACTACAAAATACTGTTGGGAAAAATTAGGGAATATTCATGTAAATGTAGACAGATAACATGTTCCTGCATTGAAAGCTTTGATAGTATTATGATGTTACTTCTCCCTAAACCGACCTGAACACATCAGTTTATTTTTATGGTGTACCTACCTTATTGTGTTTCTTGTAAGCTAATTAAAACAAATCTATCAGTCAAAAGGAAACTCAGAAGTGACATACTTTATCCAACTGAAGTATCTACTAGTTATGTGGCTGAGAAGGGAAGATGATGGCCAGCTTTGTTTATATACACATTCTCACAGATTCTCTCCATGTGAAATAAAAAGTAAGCTCTCTAAGGTTAAAAGGTGAGAAAGCGACGTACCTGTGGTGAGGGCTGCTGAATATATCCCTGCTGCTGAAGCACAGGCTGGCTGACAGGATGGCCAGAGGCAGCATAGCCAGCAGAAGGGACTGGCTGCCCAGGTGGCAGAGGAGGGGGAGGAGGTGGTGGTGGCGGTGGTGGTGGAGGGGCTGCCGTCATGATATAACCAGACTGCTGTGGGGACTGAAGAACAACAGTGGACTGGAACATGGTGGCATGAGGGTCAGAACCATCTGCAGATGGCTGGCGGGCAAGACTCATGTGGCTAAACTGAGACCCAAGGTTGTCCTGCTAAAAAAAAAAGGGAAAAGTCAGAAATCAGTAAGCCTTCCGTACACACGTAAACCAAACTTCTAAAAAAAAAAAAAAAACTTCATGTATTTGAAGATGAACTGCAGTAGTATGGGTATCATGTATCTATAACAGATTTGATTTAATAGAACAGCTTCAATAAAATTAGAACTCTAAGGCAGGAAAGTAGGAGTATTATAATGCTGTCATTAATAAATTACTTTTAAAGTAGATCTAATGGATTGCAAAGCATGCAGAAGAGTAGGGTGTAAAAACATTTCACACAAAAAAATGAAAAGACACTTACTTAAATGATGATTAAAGACACATAAGGATGTGTGAAGTGAAAACTGGACATACTTATATTATATAATTAACATCTTCTCAAAGGACTTCAAGGACCGGGTAACTAACAAGGCACAGTACTAATTATTCTACCCCTTTTCCTAAAAGGCAAGATTCTGGTTCTAGGCACTTCTGTTTATCTTATCACACCTGTTGAATATACTAGCACAAATGAAAAAAAAAATGCATAAAATCCACCCCAGTCTTCTAATCTCTCAAAAATAATTTGGCCATAAATTCTATTCTTCTCTAGGGTTTTTCAGTCTCTTCCTAAAGTCAGATGTTGACAAATGTAATCGAGATGAGTTTCCTATTGCTTTTGCTACTTGGTGAGCAGGCAATCATGTCCAGCCAAGAGAGGTTTATAATGTACATGCCATCTGACAAATGTTTTCTCTCACTCAACAGCCTAAGGACCAGTTCTGACTAGTCTAGATAATATCATTGAAATGACAAAAATGGGGTTAAAATGGCATCCCCTTGCTCCCAAAGAGCCAGAGATTGGCAACAATATATACCACATTTTGTTAAGAGGAGAATTTTGGAAAAAGTTACTTAAAAAAAATTGTGGCAACTGAGTTGTCAGATCAAAGTCGACACATCTGCAATTTCTAGTCTGCTGGTTTTTGCAAAGTACATTACAGCTATGGAAAAGACAGGGAACTGAAAAGGGGTACCTGATTTAATGACTGGAAATACATGGTTTTATGCTTGCTCTGACACACTCTAGCATTATTAGCTTAATTCAATGAATACTTTCAAAAGGGAAAAATGTACTAAAATATACCTATTAGTTGTAATTACACAGTAATCTGGCCAAATATTTTAACTATACACCACCATCAGAGTCGTCTTGAAAAAAAGTCATTTTCTTATTCCAACAATCTGCCATTTTTCAAAACACTTTTGAGGCTTTTATGTTATGTTCATTGATACTTTTGATCTTCTCAATGTTGGCAAAATTTTATTTTTTCAGATTGGAAGTGATTTTTGAAAATCATTCACAGCTAATGCTGGTAAATAAGGTTGCCCCCAGCTCAACGCAAAAACACTCTCAATATAAGAAAATGTTTCTACAAAATGTCAAGTGATTTTAAGACACAGCTTGTAATTTAACCTAAAAAGTAGTGTCAAAATATTGATGCCATATATTAAAAAAATAACAGCACCACTGGGAAAAGTCTATTAGGCTGTTTAGGGAGACTCATTTTAAGGGAAGGGAAGTAACATTTATTGAATACTCATTTCGTGTTAGGCCCTAGGCAGGAATTCCATTCCAACTTTTACATTGTTGTCTCATATAGTTAGTAACTATAGAAGGTCACAGAGAGAACACATGGCCCTGGTGCTTGTAAACTCTGAGAGGTAGAATTTAGGGCATACTTTGGATTGAAGAAGGTACCATTCATTACAGTCACAGATTAAATATCTAGAGATCTTCTTGGGAATATACTTAGAAGAATGTCTTATGTAATCATAAGCTCCAATTCACCCTAATAACTGGGATAAGTCTACGGGACCTATGCACTGGGGAAAGAACAGAAAGCCTTAAACCCAGATGAAGGCTGCCACTCCAAGATTGCACAGATCGCACTGATCTCAAGGAGAAAAGTAGCTAAACCATCTTAGGACTAGAATTGTCAACCTGAAAATAATTTCATTGTGGAAAAGCAGGAAAAAATTGGGATTTATATAATCACTGTAATAAGTCAATATAACAAATATTGTACAGTAGACAGTAAATTATTTCTAATACAAGTTAGAAACACTTTTTCAGTATATGTGTCTAGGACTTTAAATAGTCACAAAAGATCATATCACGTTAATCACATTCATGAGCATCCATCACACATCCACCCACAGAAACAATGCAGGAGGTGAATAGAGATATAGTACCACGGAGTATTGCTGGGTGGGTGAGACTGGCAGGAGCGGGGATGGGTAAGGGGCTGTAGAGTACTGAACAGGCTGTGAAGAGGACTGCAGAGGACGAACAGGCTAAGGAATAACAGGTTGGCAAACAATGTTAATGTCAGAATAAAATGTTACAAGAATTGCATAAAATGGAAAGTTACACTTTTTTGACAACAGCTTAAACTATATTTTTAAAGTGATCTTAAACAACGATAATAGGAAACAACAAAAACAATGCTAAATGAAGAAACTCTACACAGTAAAAATTTAAAAAACATACCTATGTTTTAATATATAATTTGTTTTCATAAAAATATTTATTAGATTCATAGAAACAGGTAATTTAGACATTTCAAATCCTATTATCTAACCCAAACCCCTAGGTTAAGTCAGTAAAAACAAAACCACTCATTCTTACTTCCTGGTTTGATGGAGGGGCTGTTCTATTTAGCATTATAAAACTAAATAAAAGAAAAACTTCATTCATTATCAGACAATGAAAACTTAACATAGTATCTATGCCAATTACTATCTGATAAGGCATGATTAAATACTCTTTTGGGACCATAGGGCCTGAATTCTAACAATTTTCACTTTAAAAAATTTATTTACTTTTTTAACTTTAGCAGTTTTTAAAGTACAATACGTTGTGGGTGCCACTAAGAGTAACAGCCTAAAGAACAGCACACACATACATACAGGCACATGTACAGACATAAACTTATCTCTTTTACACAAGGAAGATAAACACATTTGTCTTGAAACTACAAATTTTGGTTGAGAGTAGATGCTATGTGGAGCTGAAAAACTAGTGACCTGAAATTTTTTCACTAAGGATATACTTCTGCATTTCAGAAAAAAAAGGATAAGTTTTATGTTTCCCAGGGACACTCAAAAACAGACATTATAGAAAATGAACAATGTTTTAATCATTTTAAAGCTTAAGGAGTAAAGCTGGCCATCTGTAGGCTAACAGTGGCATCTGACTTAGTTTCCCAGTCTTATATTTATATTAGATAGTTTATTACAAAAGGGTAATACACATACTGGCTTAAAGACTCTCATAATCCATGTTATATAGGTGACAGTCAGAGTAAGATAAGTGACCTGTAGACAGCCATGTAAGCAAGCACTGGAGGAACCCAGGTCATTTTATCTAACGAAAACTCTCACTTTTGCTTAAAATGTATACACATGAATCTCTGGACAGTATTTCCTAAAAGAATACTTTGAAAATGCAAAATAAGCGAACTGAATAAGCTTCCTAAGGAAATAATCTAAATAAGGGGAAAGTCTTATGACAACTCAGACGTGTATGGTGAGTTACACTTCCCCCACAAAATCAACACAATAGTTTCTAAAAAATGAAAAAAATAGAATCTCACAAAAAATCTAGAACTAAAGCAAAAGTACTAAACAAGGTAAACACTGAAGGATCTATAGAGCCACTGGTTCCTCACTAACCTCTTGACTAGAAATTAGCAAGCTTCCTAACAGATGACAGCACATATCACACTAAATGAGGTGCAGTGGTTTTAGAACTTCCAAGCACAGGCTATTCAATGTGTTATTAAGTCAGACAACCATTAAGACATAACTTTCTTCCAGACATCTTGACCTACTATGTAAGTGTCAGATGAAACAAAAGCTTTAGTCGGCCGTAAGATAAAAGAAAGAGGAGTCCGATGAGCACCAGTGGTATGAATTAATGTCTCCGAGAGTGTCAAGTGGTAATGAGACAAATGTGGGCGGGAAGACTCGTTGTTCAAAGTGAAATTCTGACACCACTTAGAAAAGGAAAAGCCTTAGCTCTTCCTTTTCCTACTTAAATTGCAAATGGCTGCAAAACAATATCCACTTAAAAGTGACTGGTTTTGAGAAATGCAGCCCATCTGAAGGCTTTGGAAATCATACTATTATTTTGTTTGGTTATTTGAAACTTCATGGATGGATTATCTCAGTGCAGAAAGAAAGTAGTTACTGAATATCATTTGTTCATCAATTCTCTATTTTGGTATCTGATGATGAATTACCTGAAACACCTGAAGCAACACCAGGACAATCAACCACAAAGTTTGATGCATATCCTGAGATTTCAAATTATAGTCCATTAAAGCTCTATTCCTTTTTTAAAATGTTTATTTTTTTTTGAGAGAAAGAGAGCAAATGAGGTGGGAGGGCAGGGAGAGGGGGACAGGATCTGTAGCGGGTTCCTTGCTGACAGCAGAGAGCCCGATGTGGGGCTTGAACTCACAAACCATGAGATCACTGACATGAGCCAAAGTCAGACCCTCAACCAACTGAGCCACCCAGGTGCCCCTAGGCTCTATTTCTAAACTAAGCTATCTACACCTTTATTTAGGATAGTCTCATATCTAAATCATACAAAATTATTTCTAAAAGATAATAATCTGAAATATATAATCATAGATGAATGCTTAGACTTTTTTGAAGCCACCAGACAAATACTATTTCCACTGAATGAAATGAAAATCAGTCTTATAAAGCTCCTGGTGAAATACGTAGCAAGGCATAGGCAACTGACAACAAGATGAAAGAGAAATACTTCAGGACCTAACTGAATGAAGGCAAGGCAGAGAAGGCCAGGGAGGGCATTTTATGTACTCCAATGTGTACCTGTGCATTTTTAATCAAATGGGGTTGGGAAGTGGATATGGGAGTCTTTGGAAACAGTTTTTAGGCAACTTCCTCTTCACACATTTGTATGTTTGGTTTTTAAAAAAGTTTTTTTTTTTACGTTTATTTATTTTTGAGACAGAGCATGAACAGGGGAGGGTGAGAGAGAGAGGGAGACACAGAATCTGAAACAGGCTCCAGGCTCTGAGCTGTCAGCACAGAGCCCGATGCGGGGCTCGAACTCACGGACTGTGAGATCATGACCTGAGCCGAAGTCGGTCGCCCAACCGACTGAGCCACCCAGGCGCCCCCACAGATTTGTATGTCTTAAAAGCACATCAAAAACCTAGAAATCCTACTTTATATAAACTACCTTGCCCAATATTAGGAGTCTTAATTGCCAGAGGCACAATTATTTGCAAAACTTTGAAAGTATTTGATGACATTACCACTGCTCATATATTCTTTACCCTTGCACTACACAAACTATATAACTTGCCAATAAAATTAATGAAATTTCCCTAGTTCAAGTTTATCTCCATACTTCTTTCATAAGAAAGTATTCTACAAGTTCTCACCAGTGGAATATTTAGATAGTCTTATGGAGAAAAAGAGGTGTAACTAACTGTACAAGCTGTCTTTGATATGTTATACAACCTTTAAAAGAACAAAAGTAACTGAGTTTACACTGGGATAATCAAGTTCCCCAAGGATGAATAATACATCTATATGGGAATAACCAGAATGTGAAAGTGTATGTACAAACTTTAAACATTTCTACAAATTCAAGATACTATTAAGAGTGCTTCTGTGAATTCTAATTCAGAATGTTTTTGCCTCCCTCTTTCGTAGAATAGGTGGGATGCAAAGTACCTTGCCGAACTTGAGCAACTTAAGTTTCTTCTATCTTCTTGATCTGTTGAACCTTAGAACAACTTACTTATTAGCTCACTGGGATAATCTTAGTTTTCTTTTTATTCCTTTTGTCCATCTCTTGCTGTTGTAGAATACGGAGAACATACTCACCACATAGGCTCATGAGATATGAAATTTCCTTCTTTCCAATATATATTCTGTATTTATTAGCTGAAAATCCTGTGAAGTTAACCTCTCTTCCTACAAACGGAGCGGGACATCACTGGTACAGAATATTAAATATTAAATTAATTTAATATTTAATAAAATATTAAATATTAAATTAATATTAAATATTAAGAGATACTTGGGCTAGCCCAATTATAATTATAATTAGTGAGTTTAAACCCAAATATATAAAGGAAGGTGAGCTTAGCATTATGTAATCACGGATATGTGCACCTGTGAGAAAATGTGATTAGCTGCTTGTTGTTGAGGTGGTGGGGGTGGCAGAGGTGGCTGTGGAGGTCCAGGCACTTGGGTTCTAACAGGTTGTTGAGTCATAGGAGGATTATACACAACTGGACTTCCATCTGGGTTTATGAAGGGCTGACCTGAAAAATTATAAGAGGAGGGAAAAAAACCATTTACAATTGAGACCGAACATAGGTCATTTCTATGAACAATCTGTAACACAGGTCTATAATCCTTACTCAAAATCTCAAAGCCAAGTTTCTGAAGACCAAAAGATTTTCTTAGCAGAGGAAACAAAGTGTGACCTTACCTGAGCCTATTTTAATAGTCTTTATTTTTCTCACTTAGGGTAAATTTTTTTTTCATTTTTTAAAAATATAATTTATTGTCAAACTGGCTTACATACAACACCCAGTGCTCATCCCAACAAGTGCCCTCCTCAATGTCTATCACCTATTTTCCCTCCCCCGCCAGTTTGTTCTCTGTATTTAAGTTTCTTGTAGTTTACCTCCCTCCCTGTTTGCAACTATTATTTCCCCTTCCCTTCCCCCATGGTCTTCTGTTAAGTTTCTCACAGAGTAAATACTTGAAAATTCTGCTGCAGTGTTTTACTATGTAGGTGCTGCTCTAAAACCTCCTGGAGTTATTTTACAATACACAGCATTTTTCAAAAAACTCTGAATTCTGAATATCTTGCTCAAGGGATTCAGTTATAGGACTGTGGTCCTGTAGTGCTTTAACGATTTCAGTTTTAAGAAAAAATTCTTGACTTTGGGATACTGGAACGTTATTAATTAGCCTCTATTACGTAGTGAGAAAGAGCTAATTTATAGACCACAATGCATATGCTTAATTAGTGAAATTAACACTGGATGAAAATTAAAAATGCTTGCCAGCTTCAAATTTCAAATCATGGACTTGATGGCAGAGTCCTTATTTTATAACTTCTAAAGTTGTAAGTTGTGAACTCTGAATAATTTTGTAAAATAATTTTTTAATTCTAGTGAGCTTGATTCACAGGTATGAAAAAAACCTTTAATATTGATTTACAGGCTTATTGTTATTGCTTACTAATTACTGGGGGAATATCTGAAGTGCCTAAGTAAATGAATTTTACTCTTTTCTACACATACATTCTGAACAACTTTTTCTTATTATGAAAATATTTTTATTGTGGGAAAATAACCAATAAATAGGGATTGAAAGAAAATAAATCCCCCCATAATCTTGTAGTTAATAATTTGGATACCCTTCTTCCAGAATTTTTTTTTTTCAGAGCAGAGGTAAATAGATACACAGATTAGTATTTTTCCTTACACTATACACTATATTATTTTAAAAAAAAAGAACAGAAAAAAAGGGACTATGTGAAATATACTATGATACCCATTTAGAATGGGAAGAATAGAGAAGTTAAGAGAAATCTGACTTAACAATTGCTAAAAAGTGTCTTAATAATATCCTTTCTTCCATGGTAAAACCCCCTATTTGCTTTCTGAAACTTATGACATAATAAAATAATTGTGGGAAGAGAAGAATACATTGTTCCACTGATACCAAGTGGGAAAAGTCCTTCAAATTCAAATAATTTTCATTAAGTTTCTTGATAATTTAGTTATATGAAAACAAGTAATGCTGGGTATTTGTTGAGTGTTATGTAATTTTGAACAAAAATGGTAGAGAAGATATGATTGGAAGCATGCTTAAAAGTAACTTAAGGGCCGTTTGAAAACGTTGGATGTGTTGTAATGCTGTTCTCAAAAAGCAAAGAGATCACTTTTGGACTCATTTAAAATTAAGAATACAATTCAATTACAGGTTGATCTGTTGCTCATTCTATAATTTCCTATTCAGTAGAATCTTTCATATCATTGAAAAATCATTAAAATGTTTTGAATGAAAAGTAATAGTAAATAGTATATTAAGTCATCTTATATCCTGCTCCAGAAAAACAAGAAGTTTAGTAATATAATAAATCTCAAGGAGAAGAAGATAATGGTTATTAAGCAAAAATGGAATTTCTGAATATTCATTTCTTCTAATAGAAACAAATGTTCCAATACTTTATCTTAAAAAACAGATGCAAAGAAATCTGAAGGTAATGAGTTCCAAGCCATAGTCTTCTCTACAACAAACAAAAGAAAAGGTTCAGGAGCACACAGAGACACTCTCGCCTGTACCTATCTTGCCCAACTACTGCCGTGCTGATGTGACCACATGAGTTAAGTGTACGAATTTCTAAGAAAGGTTATCAAATGATTTATAAGGTTGTTCTCATTTTCACAAAATTACTGTGCCATAACATTTTGAATAGAGACCAGACTTCATGTGATCTTTTAAAAGATGTTTTCTATATTTGCCCATACGACATGCATAATGAAATGTATTATGACTGCAGTTTCTTAATCTCTCTGAAGTTTAGTTTCCTTACACATAAATGGGGACTTCACCTACCAAGATTGTAATGATGATAAGGAATGTGTTTCAAGCACCTAACACAGTACATGATACATAATACATGCTGAAAAGATGAGAATTATTACCTAACTGCAAAGAATATGTGTCTTCAATATTAATTCATAAGGACTACTTATTTCCTTTTTCTAATAATAAAATGTGCCTTACCTTTTCCTTAGGAGAAAACAATTAGTATATTCAGAAGGACAATAACTTATATGTTCTTTCTCCTTCATTCTATAATGAATAAGAGCTGCTTACTTTCTCCTTCCTCATGAAATGCATACTATTTTCCCCAGGATAATTTTTACTTTTTTAAATCAAATAAAGCTCTTTCAATGGTCATTGTCTCATTTCTAAGAAATGAACCATTTTTCAATTATGGTTAGCCTAAAAGGTGATGTCTGGATGTCACAAAGAGAAAAATACTTCCTGATATAAATATATCTTGTAACATTTTCTAGCAGAAATGTTTTATTAAAGTTCTAGGGAAAATGCTAATTACTCATGAAAAATAAAAAATTGACAACACATATACAAATAATACATTTAATACAGTTTTTATTTTTCAGTAACTCCTGATATCTCAACTGAAATAAACACCTTTTTCTCGATACCAACCTGTTTGTGGGTTGATCAGAATACTGCCAGGTGGTATGCCTGCCGCTTCCAAGGGAAGCAAAAAGAAGCTAGTGCTAGGAGATGCGACTTGCCCATTTAGGCCACCATCAAAGGAAAGAGAGCTATGAGTGCTGACAGTTGGATAGACGACAGGTGCGCCATGAGAAGACTGGCTGAGAGCTGTACCTGGAAGAGGCTGCTGGATGTGAGAAAGAGAGCCCGTAGATGACCCTACACTACCAGAAGACTCAGAACCTAGGGAGGAGTAATGAAAAATATGGATTTTTTAAACCTTATATAAAAACGAAGGCTTTAAATATGTAACAATAAAATCCACATTACATAACATGCAGTTACCACATAAAAGCAATGGCTATTTTTGATTTACTATATAATTTTGCTTCCCCTCCCCATCATCAACAAGTTTAATACAGCAAACTGATCACATAAGTTGTCAGAGAAGTCATAGCCAAAGCATGCAACTTAAGCAAGATTATAATAACAACAGCCACAGACAGCCACAAAAAGCACATTACCCACATTCCCCAAAGCACAAACTTATGTACATTTTACCTTTTAGATTAACACTTAGGAATACACAGATTATAATTTTCCCCAGGAAAAAGAACATAGCACAGCCAAATGCCCCAAATCTCTTATACCAGAAACCCCTTATCTATAAGAACACAGAAAGATTAAGAGTAGTATAGGAGATAACAAAAATGATAAATTCTCTATCAAGAGAATAAACTTAATAAATGTGATAGTTTATTTTTAGCTGTTTTTATCCTTGCAATCTATTTCGTTTTCTATCACCCAGAGACTGAAAATGTTACTGACTTTCAGTAAAATGGCTAAAACTGGATAATAAGACAATCAAAGAAAGAAAAAGATTTTTAAACTGTATATGGTTAACTAGGTTTTAAGTAAGAGTTGACTCTGGGATGGAGAATTACTCTTTAATGAATGAAATAAACAAATATGATACACTTATACAGACTGCCTTCTTCTATTTTAAGTTTTGCCAAATGACCCCTGAAAAAAAACTCTACCAAAAATAATTTTTCCCATTAAGAGTTAAATAATGGTTCATCTCTGAAGAGAATATAGATTATAAATAGGACACGATCTTAAAATGTTTTAATTCAGCAGTGTTTCTAAATGATCTTCTCATAGTTATTGTTATGATGACTTGTTTCCCAAATAAATGCATATCTTGTGCATATACATATTTCTTATATTAACAAAATTTACCTATCTTTAGCAATATTCTATGATATACACTAAGATATTTTTAATATGCACATTATAATAAGAAAGGGTGACGAGTGCAATTCATAAGCCTTAATTTAAAGCAATGATTATAGACAAGGATTAATAAAAAAATACTTGGCCACCTCTAAATCTCTCCCATGTTACCTGTACAATACCTTATGTCTACGATAACCCAGATAGGCTAAAGATAGCCATTTCTGCTAACTTTTAAAGCTAATTTTGGAATACAAATAAAGATCTGCAAGGATCCTAAGAGAGATGTGAGGGTCTTTAGTATTAAACCCAGTTAGTAAAGGTGAAGAGAAAATGTATGAGCCTAAATGTAAGGTACCATAAAAGCAAAGAAACTAGAAGAATGAGGATGTTACTAAAATTTTCACTCATTCAGAATAATTACATCACATTATTTTTCTTGAAAAATCCTCAGAAACTTCTCAGCAATTTTACTGATTCTTTGAATGGCAAATGAAGGACTTTATCATGAAAAATACAATCAATAACTGATAGTATTAGCTGAAAATGCAACCAATGTTAAATAATCCTAGGTAAGAAACCATGCCTTCTAATTATAAATAAGCAATGGAGAATTTCCAACCACCTCTGGGGACTCAAACAACAGATGACATTTCACTGAACTAACTTGATTAAGTTTATGTCACAAGAGAGGATTTTTACTTTAACTGATGTTTGTAAATCTCTCTTGAGCAGAGAATGAATCCTAATGTCAATACACCCATTACCTCTGAAGTACTGTGGAGCTGCTCAATGCACTGCTGGTAGGAATTTTAGATGTTAGGATAACTACAGAAGCCATCTGATAAATAAAGAGCTAAGGCAGCAATAGGGAAACGAATGTTATGACTGCACAGTTCTAGACAAATATTTATACCTGTTTTTGAAAGCCTGCCTATGCTTTTGCTGCTCCCAGAACTATCACCTCTTGTCAGGACCGAGATTCCACTGAAGCTGCTGGCTTTGGTAACAGCAGGCTTGAAGTTTCGGAGGGAACTGTCTGAATCTGTACTGCTCCAGGGTCGTGGTTCAGAATACTTCAGTTCATTCTCAGTGCTGCTTTGATGGCTATTTGTTGATCTCCCTGAAGCATCTTTATTAACTCTGTAATTTAGAAAGAAAACTTTGAAAAGCTAATAGGACAAAAGGGGAAAGAACAGAGAAAAAATGCTTTGAGTTTTTAATACTGCATGAAAACATGCTTTCAATACCTAAATATCTGACGCCTCTGCTGGGTACTACTAGCATCCTCGTCTTGGATTCTGTTGGCATTTTAATGAGACATTTTTATTTTTATTAGCATCAATCAGAGAGTTAACAAATGAATGTTAAAAATTCCCTCACCTTTTGTCAATAATATAATTCTCTTGGGAACACAGGGACTAGAAAGAAAGAAGAGATATAAGAAGTTGAGCTTTTGTCAAATACATAAACTGGTGATGACAACAAAAAACACATGGAGTAATATTTAATAAGTTATCATTTAGCCCTGCGAAAAAAATCCAAAATAGTGATAGGGGGACATAAATAAATAACAATGAAATTATTTTTGGCTTGGACACACTATGCTTACTTTTAACAGAAGCCATTCATTTCTGGGGCACAAATTAACCTGAAATTCAAATAATCTCTTCCAAAAAGTGAACCCCTTTTCACTATTATATACTGAAGGTGTACACCAATCTAAAGATTCCACCTCATTCACTCAACATTTTGATCACCTGTGCTTTGGTTGTGACTGTATCAGTGAACAAGCAAGCAGCTATACCTCAATGCAGCTCAGAACCAAACTGTTCTAATGCTATGAACTTAGCTCGGGCAACCACCATTTTTGCTTGTATTATTATAACAGTCTTCTAACTGGTTTTCCAGCTACTAGTTTTGCCCTTTTAATCCAATTTAAACAATAGAAGCCACAAAAGTGTTTCTAAAATGTCAATCTTATCACATCTCTTTCCTCCTTTAACAGCTCTCCGCTGTTTGCATAGAGGTCAGCAAACTATGGTCAGCCACCTGTTTTTGCAAATAAAGTTTTATTCGAACACAGCCGTGCCCATTTATTTATGTATTTTCTACATCTGCTTTCACATTAAAAAGGTAGATTTGAGTTGTTACAATAAAATACCGCATGACTCTAAAAACCTAAAATATTAATTATCTAGCTCTTTACAGAAAAGTTTGCTACCTCCTGCTCTAACTAAAGGCCCAACCACCTTAACCAGCTTTCAGGGACAGGTCATCTGCTTCCTGGGTCAAGTCATCTGCTTCCTGCTTATTTCTCTAATCTAAACTTTCCTCACTTTCTGTGTCACGTAGGCTATAGTCCAGCTCCTCTGAATTTTTTAGTCTTCATGTGTCAACTTCTCCTTTAACTCTGGGCCTCTGCAAATACTGACCCTCTACTTGGAACATTTCACTCCCTTGGAGTCTGTTTGGAAGCTAACTCTTCCTCTCACTCCTGAGTTCTGTTTTGTGATGCTTTTCTGCCATGTCCCTTATTTTACCTTCATGTCTCCACCTACATCACATATCGTATTGTCATTACCTGGCTATTCATCGGGGTAGAGGCCTCATCAATCTTAGAAACTACAGAGAGAATTACATCTAGTTTATCAGGCTCTGAAGACAGCAGACCTGGGCTGAAATCCCAATCTCTGTCATTTTCTAGCTATATGATCTTTTGCTACTTTACTTAGCCTCCTTGAACCTCAGTTTCCTTATCCGTAAGATAAAAACAATGATAATACCTACCATATGTATATATAGCACTGTTTGGGGGATAACTTATTTTAAGTGTAAACGGATGTGTCCTCCAGTGCCCAGCATAGCACCTACTATAGGTGGTCAATAAGATTTGTACGAATATTAACTGATAGTTTGGATTTTAGTGTTATTCTTTGTTTTTTTACCATTGAAATTTCCATCTCTGGCAATGTTAACACAAATTACATACATTCATATATCCATGAATAAAACCTAGTACTAAACAGAATGGGTGCTTAACAGACACTGGTCAGACCAAACTAAATCTCTTCTCAAATATATGTATAAAATAATTACCCACTTTAAAGATTTCTTTCACATAATCACTTAAAAAAGTAGACAATATTAATCTAAAAATTAGTTTTACTTTAAAAGAAATAAGTTATTTATTGAGAAAAATCTACTACCAAGTAGAACTTAGAGTTCATGATTTTGTAGACTATGATGAATGTTCTAAAAATCTCAAATCTGTAAAAAGTTTGGAAGGAAAAAAAATTATACTAACTATATATTCAGTTCAACACTACAACTCTGTAGTCTATAAACATGCAGTTTTTGAAATATTTATATAACTGCTGCAATGTAGCATTTTATAAACTATTATTAACATGAACAAGATGGATCTCAGTATTTCTAACAAGTGACTTTAAATATAACAGATACGGTTACAAATAAATGATCAATAGATTATAAAAGGAGTGACCTCCCCTCTAATGCAATTAGCATATATTTTAACAGTGAGATCTAAATATAAATCAGTACATACATCTTGGGAAAATATTCGGTCTCTGGCTCTCTGGTACTCCTCTTCTCTTTCTTCTATAGATTTGCTCCTTCTGTCATCTTTCAAACGTATTCTCATCTAAAGGAACGAAAACAATTAATTCTCGGGAAAATGATCAGTTGGGATAAGTCCTGCACCTAGAAAAAAGCTGCAGTTGTGACAGATTACCTGGTTATCATCTTTGTCAAAGCTGGAGTTGTCTCTCTTGAGGATATATCGTTTCTGAAAGTCTTCACCTTTATCATCCTTAATATGTTCATTGAATTTCTGATCAGGTCTAAAAAAACCACGAAGGGAACAGGAAAGATAGTACACAATATTTACAGAAAAGTTAAATACAACATGTTATGAAAAGTAATCAAAACAATGCAAATTACCACTCATTAGTGCCACTAATAATAAATATTTATGTTATCTCATTTACTCTTCATAATAATCTTATGAGAAGGTATTAACTGCTCTATGTTATGACTGAAAGGCCATATGAAAAATACACTGTGGGCTCTGGAATCAGACTGCTTGGGTTCAAATATTCAGCTTTACCACTTTAGTTGCTTCAGGACTTGTGCAAGTTACTTAACCTTCCTGTTCCCTAGTTTCCTCATTTGTAAATTGAATTACAGGATACCTACTTCAAAGGGTTGTTCTGAAAATGAAGTGAATTAATAAATGAATAGCACTTAAAAAGTAAACACTCAGTAGAAGTTTGTTATTACTATAAATATTACTGAAAAAAGCTGAGGTTCAAATGGCTTAGGCAACTGTCCAAGGTCAAGGGCAAGTGGATGACTGAGCCACAGCTGGTGCATTGGTATGGCAGACTCAAAGCCTATTTATCCTCTTTGCATTGCCTCCTCTAAATCTAAGGAAAAATTCTGGGAAAAAGAATAAAGTATAGTGTTGTATCTTATATTACATTCTTACATTTGGTGTGATATAACTGAAAGTAATAAAATTTTTTGTGGCTGCTTTAACTAAAACTTAAGAGGTTAATTTCAAATGCAACCAAGAATTCTTAATTATAACAGGGTACATCTTTGATTTATATTAATTGAAACAGGTTAAAAAAGAAATAATGCTTTTTTGGAGGTTAAAGTTGTAACCTAAAGTAATAATTATAAAATTATAACAATACATCTTATGGCTGATTTGTCTTTCCTCTACAGAAGTGTTGCAAGTTCTAATGACATCCTGAAGACATATATGAGGTTGTAGTCCGTGGAAAATCAAAATTACATAAAACTTCCCTTTCTAAAATATATTGTCAGCTTCAACAAATTAATTTATTTAATACTCTTGTGACTTAATAACATCCTGTTATAAAACTGGAATTACTCTTCTGAAATACATGGTACATAAAAATATATTTAGAGGTACAAAGAAAGGTTAACTGAAGCCCTGAGTAGTTTTTTAAATATAGCTTAAATATGTATTATACAGTGATGTAATATACTGTGAATACCAAGTACATTTCTGAACCAAATAAACCTAAGTAATAACATCTGCAGCAAACATGTCCATATATATCATTATGTAGAATATTTAAGGAATGCTTCTGAATATTTGTTTTAACCTAGTAAATTTTTAATAAAGTACTGTTTCTATATCCTGTCAAATTATGCAAAACAAGATTTAAAAATAAAACTTATCTAAGTAAGTTGAAGAAATCTTTATTTTACAACGTACTTAGGTGAAACGAAGGGCAGATCTCCACACAGAGCTATATGTATACAGAACTAAGAAGAACAAAAACAAGAGTAAAAACAACATCATGACCAAACTGATGAGAAAAAAAATGCTTTCTTCAGTAGGAATTTGCAAGGTTGTCTATTTAGTTCTGAAGATGGTAGTATGTTATTTCTGTCACAGGATTACCCTGTTTACTTATATCAACTTTTTTTGTAGCTGTTCAAAGTCATTTTTCTTTATTGAAGGTGTCTATACTTGGGCGCAAGAGTTATTCCAAAGTCAACTCTAAGGTTTAACCAAGGGCCTGGCAACTTTTCTAAGAGCAGCTGGATTCCCACACCAAATAGCACTGGCAGGCATTTCAGCTAACCTTAAGACTGTCTTACCTCTTTCTTTTATAGATGCCTGAATTTACTGCCCTGCAATCGCCAACTTCCCGCTCCATTGAGACACCCCAGTGGACACCGGGTTGTTGACATCCACAACACCACTGGTTCAAGGCTGGAGCGGGTAATTTGCCTATGAGGAAAAGGTAAGTTTGCATTTATTCAATGTGGAGCAGATCTCTAAGGTTTTCTGATTTACAACCTTCTTCATATTCCAGAAGATATAAAATAAGAATACAGTGTAACTTCAGTGATCTGAATGTCTAGTTGTAATTGTGTTATCAATCCATTCTTCTTTAAGTACATCATAAACATTATATTTAGCCAAACTTTTGATTATATTGATAAAGAGAACCCTAAAGCTTTTTGACATCATTCATAGCATTCAAATAACTGAGGTTACACTGTATTGAAAACCTTAGAGAGTCACCAGTCGAAATGTTAGACAAAATGCCTGCTAATGTACATGTGCTTGGGTATCCAGCAGCTCTGAGTAATGTTGAAAGGTACTGGTTAAATGATTTTGAGTTCTATTCACCTTCAGTTCAGTTCATATCTTACGGTTACTGTCCTTGGGAAACAACTAACTGATGAGGATATTATTAAAAGAGTAAGGAACAAGCAGAAAAAAATTAAGTACCATTCACATTTGTGGGTAATATAATCCCTAAAGGAAGACAAGGTCCTTTTTAAAGATATCTATTGTCATTAATTTAATTGTAGGAACAAACATTTAAAAATACTAGGTTCCACCAATGTATTTAGTTGACAAAATACTGTAAGAAATGGATGAAAATCAACTTTATTTCAGTAAACAATATGACAGCTATCAGAGTAAAGGCCATTGTAATACAAGGGACATAAGTGAATAAATACAACCATGAAAAATGAATAGTTCATAGATGAGCTCCTAAGAGCAATCCCTATCAAAATAACACCAGAATTCTTCACAGAGCTAGAACAACAATCCTGCATTTGTATGGAGCCAGAAAAGACCTTGAACAGCCAAAGCAATCCTGAAAAAGAAAACCAAAGCTGGAGGCATCACAAATCCAGATTTGAAGCTGTATTACAAAGCTGTAATCATCAAGACAGTATGGTACTGGCACAAAAACAGACACTCAGATCAATGGACCAGAATAGAGAACACAGAAATGGACCCACAAATGTATGGTCAACTAATCTTTGACAAAGCAGGAAAGAATCTCCAACGGCACAAAGACAGTCTGTTCAGCAAGTGGTGCTGGGAAAACTGGACAGCGACATGCCAAAGAATGAACCTGGACCACTTTCTTACACCATACACAAAAATAAACTCAAAATGGATGAAAGACTTCAACATAAGACAGGAAGCCATCAAAATCCTAGAGGAGAAAACAGGCAACAACCTCTTTGACCTCGGCTACAGCAACTTCTTACTTGACATGTCTCCAGAGACAAGGGAAACAAAAGCAAAAATGAACTATTGGGACCTCATCAAGATAGAAAGCTTCTGCACAGTGAAGTAAACAATCGGCAAAACTAAAAGGCAACCGATGGAATGGGAGAAGATATTTACAAATGACATAACAGATAAAGGGTTACCCAAAATCTACAAAGAATTTATCACATTCAACACCCAAAAACCAAATCATTCAGTGAAGAAATGGACAAAAGACATGAACACTTTTCCAAAGAAGACATCCAGATAGCTAACCAACACATGAAAAGATGTTCAACATCACTCATCAAGGAAATACAAATCAAAACCACAATGAGATACCACCTCACAACTGTCAGAATGGCTAAAATTAACAACTCAGGTGTTGGTGTGGATGTAGAGAAAGATGAACTCTTTCGTTCTGCTGGTGGGAATGCTGGTGGCGGTGCAGCCGCCTTGGAAAACAGTATGGGGGTTCCTCAAAAAATTAAAAATAGAACTACCCTATGACCCAGCAATTCCACTACTAGGTATTTATCCAAAAGATACAGGAGTGCTGATTTGAAGGGGCACATGTACCCCGATGTTTATAGCAGCACTATCGACAATAGCTAAAGCATAGAAATAGCCCAAATGTCCATGGACTTATAAATGGATAAAGAATATGTGGTATATATATATACACAATGGAATATTTCTCACAGATCAAAAAAAAAAAAAAAAGAAATCTTGCCATTTGCAACAATGTGGATGGAAATAGAGTGTATTATGCTAAGCAAAATAAGTCAGAGAAAGACACATATATTGATTTCAGTCATATGTGTAATTTAAGATACAAAACAGATGATTATAAGGCAAGGGAAGCAAAAATAATATAAAAATAGAGAGGGAGACAAACCATAAAAGACATAAATACAGCGAACAAACTGAGGGTTGCTGGCAGGGTGTTGGATGGGCTAAAGGGGCGAGGGGCAATAAGGAAGACACTTGGGATGAGCACTGGGTATTACATGTAAGTGATGAATCACTAATTTCTATTTCTGAAATTATTACTAAATTTTACATTAAATAACTTGGATTTAAATAAAAATAGACCCTAAGTATAGCTTTAAGAAAAGCAGAAAAATAATTAATTTCAGCATTATCTATATCATCTGAAGCTGACGCTCATTACCACAGACCCACTGCTGCCACATATGAAATTGATACAGAAAATTCCAATAGACAGATTAACCATCAAAGTATAAACTTCAGCTGAACTTAACAAGCAACTTAAGTTGCTTTAGGACTAGTTTTAGAAATAGGCAGAAGAGGGGTGTCTGGATGGCTCAGTTGGCTGAGCATCCAACTCTTGAGTTTTGGCTCAGGTCATGATTCCAGGGTCATGAGATCCAGGCCTGTGTCTGGCTCTGCACTTAGCATGGAACCTGCTTAGGATTCTCTCT